CCCTCCTCCCCCCTCCCTCCTCCCCCCTAAAGTAGTATATTGAGGATACCGTATCATTCTATAGTATATCAAAACATACTCTTATTCCATTTTCTTTCGTTTTTAAGGTGGTGATGGTGGTTGGAACGAGTGCCTGTGGAGCGAGACTCAAGGCAAGTGTTACTCACCAACATACCTCCCGATGGCCGAAGTGACAGGCTCAGCAGGGCGTATCCTTCGTGGCTCATCTCAGCAGTGCATGCCTGACTGCTTTCGCAATACCCAATGTTCTACCTGCATCCAGAGCTATAACTGTGGATGGTGTAGTAAACAAAACTCGAATGGCCAAGGATTATGTATGGAAGGCGGTCTAAAAGGTATAAGTCTGCAACTATAGAGAATGTGTACGTCCCGTCTTAGCCGCCATCTTAGTTGYCAATAACAAAACATTCCTCATTAGCTTCTCTTTATACATCAACCAACATGGCAACTGTTTCATTGTTATTTATATCTCAAGGTTTTTTGAGTCACATGGTTACATACACTCAATAGACCCCTTGCAGCACTTTGTAATGCAGCTCAATCTGGCGGACAAAACAATAGGTTCCAATTCACATGACATTGGAATTTTGTCTTGTCCCCCAGTTCGAGCTGCAATTCTATCACGCATTTTCAAAGCATTAGAAATAGGGAAGTTTGATTGGAATAATACGTTTTTAACTGAGTATTTGATTGGTAACTTTATTTTGATGATTATTGTTATTGAAAGTTTGAAATGTTTGCAATATAAACATTATTTTTAACCTTCGTGATTTGGCCGCCATATTGGTGTCCCTCAATGAGACACCAAGTTGGCGGATACATACATTTAAACTAAATTATAGTCATAATCAATCGCTTGTATCTCCGTATCTAAAACTTCTTTTAGCTAGAATTTTGGCTGAGATATATAGCTTTGGCTACTCTTTCGGCCTGGGGAAGTTTTGTTTTATATAAATCCTTGCAAATTTTTTGATGACGTTGGTAAAAAACAAGAATAGATAATTTAATTATATGACCGTAAATAAATAGGTCTTTAGTGATGACTTAAAGGTGTCAATAGTAGCTGCTTGTATATAAGACAGTATATTTCTTAATATTGGAGCAGCGATCATAAACGCACAGTCGCCCATTGTCGAAGCTATGCTTTGTGCTATTACTATCAATTAACACTCAGGAATGAGCTTCAGGGATTATTTTTGTTTGAAATGTAGGTCCCTTAAGGGGTACGTGCCAAGGGCGCACCATTGACATTGGTCATAACATCACCACGCATATAAGTACCCTTGAGCAACGTGTGTGGGCTTTCTCGCTGTGTCCTCTTGAGAACGAATGTCTGAACCATCGACACAACTGCACGTCTCTACAGAACTGTATCGACACAGACGAGTCGTATATATGTGTATGTAAACCAGGATACAAACAAATTGCAAGGTAACTGGAATTTGATCTTTATTTTTTCGCTCTTTCGTTTTCCCATTTTAAACCAAGTTCACTTCATTAAAAAGTGTGTTCACGGCAGCCATGTTGGTGCCAGAAACGATGCAATATTTTTGCATGACAAGAAAACTTATTTCCCAAGGGAAAGAATTTCTTTTGTTTAACCAACCAACATGGCTGCCATGAACACACTCTATTAACTCATTCTTTTCAATCTCATCGAGGCATAAAAACATGAATCTTGAAACTCATTGCATTGAGCATTATTTCTTTCCCTTCTGGTATAACATCAAAACCCGTTGTCGAAGCTGTTTATAAGACCACGATGGAGTCATAAAAAGTATTCACATAGACAGGTTCGACCAGAATCTTTGTGTCATAAAAGAGTGGTCGCGTAGACAGGTTCGACCAAGATAATTGTGTCATAAAAGAGTGGTCGCGTAGACAGGTTCGACCAAGATATTTGTGTCATAAAAGAGTGGTCGCACGGATAGGTTCGACCACGATTTTCAATTAACCATTTCTAACACGTTGCATGTAATTTTCCAGTGATAAGTGCGAGCCTGTCTGTGATGACGGCTGTGTTCATGGCGAATGCGTCACCCCCAACAACTGTTCCTGTCACTTTGGCTGGACTTCCTCCAACTGTTCCATCGAGTGCAAGTGCAATAAACATGGTCATTGCCTCAACGAGACAAGCCTTGATACTTGTGTCGACTGTCGCAATCACACAACGGTACGTGAAATGGTCACACAGTATGGTCACGCAATATGGTCAACACTAGATATAGACCCCTTGAACTTGTCAAAACAAAAGAATTCCTTTTCTCTTTTCAAATAATATTCTTCATTGTTTTAAGTCCCAGATAGTGGTCTAGTGTGGGATTTTGTTGAAACAATAAGATAAATTTGTTCGTTGGAGTTGGAGATGATATTTAGTCACAATGCTCTTTCTAACTCATTGACTATTCCTATCACATTGATATTTAGCGTAGTAATGATATTTTTTTGTCTCTAGGGCAAGAGCTGCCAGTTCTGTGCACCTTTGTACGTGGGTAACGCTGTTAATAATGGCTCGTGTGAGTCATGTTATGAGACATGTAATCGAAGTGCAGATGTCTGTATGGACAAGGAAAATCTCACCAAGGCCATTAACCTGAGTTTATCTCTAGATCCTAAAGAGGTAAGCCATATATTCTCATGTCGTAGTGGTTTTATAACGAACATGCAGGAAATCTTATCAAAGACCATTTTCCCCAGAATCTCAACCTGGGATATGAAAATCGAGACAGATAAGTTGGTAGTAATTTTTTGACCCCATGAAATGAATACAAAGCTGTGGGTCGATACTAGGATTTATATGCTTATATTATATGCTTTTAATAACCAGGTTGAACATGGGCAAATGGTCTTTTGTTACTAAATTTCATCCCATTCCATCCCACTTGATCCTATTATTCAACTAGCCAGCTATCAATCTATCCCTTTCATTCTGTTCCATCCTATTCTATGAGTTAGCTATGCCCTGAAGTTGTTCAGCCCAGAGTTTGTTTCCGGGTTCCATAAAAAAATGAAAATTCCCATTCTATTCCCATTTATGCGTTCATCCGTTTTCCCCCTCATTTTTTTCTCTTTAGCTTTCATTTCTTTCTTCCTTTGTCCTCATTTCCTATCAGGTCTTAAAGTGGCTCGACTATGGTCCTAAAACCATAGACGAAGATGGAGAATGTCTTTGCCAAGGAAAAAGCCGAGGAATCGAATGTAAACACTGCATTCCTGGAAACTTCTTTGAGAATGGTCGCTGTTCAGCGTAAGTCCTTACAACAATCCTCATATTTAGTACGCGTATTCCATTGTAATGGGGCTGTGCTATTAGCCATTCCGAGGTTGAGGGGAAAATGGGTCTAGTTGGTATCGCAGTGCATTGTGGGACTGTTTGAGGGGACATTTCCAAGATGGCGTCTCGTCCCCTAAAACAGCCCCACAATGCACTGTAATGAAAACTCGACCCAGGATTTTACTCAACATCGGATTGGCTTATAGACACATTCACTAATCATGGTTTTTATAAGGCTAATATTCTAATTGTTATGTGACTCTTTGACCAATAGCTGTAGATGTAACGGCCACGCAGACGTCTGTACCGAAGAGGGACGATGCGACTGTAAAAATAACACAGAACAGGATTGCAGAAGCTCACGACCCTGTTATGATACACAGGTATGTTCACACGTTATCATTGGTCGATTTTATGTTATAAACCCCCCCCCCCTTCCTCCCTACACACACACACATCCATCAGCACCCCCCTGCCCTGCTTTATTCCTCCTTTTCAAACCCCCAGGATTTGCGTTAGACTCTTCACTTAGTTGTCAACTCACTAACTAAACGCGACATACAATCATTCAAGCCTGGTTTTTGATTGTATTCTTGGCCGCCATGTTGGTGGCATTTAACAACGGATTTATTAGTAACCCCCATCATTAATACAATCAACGTGGCCGCCATGTGTTCGTCTTTTGACACTCTTGGGAATTTCATAATAACAATCATAAATAATTGCATATCTTTTTTCCCCAGTGCGTTAAATGCAAGGATTCCACCAAATTCCTTGGTCGACCAGAAAATAATCGTCAGTGTTACTACAAGATCATCCACATGCAAGAATTCGTCATCAGCGCAACACCAGGAATAGACCCGAATGACAACAGCGTCTCATCATCTCCACTCCCTAAAGGAGAAACAGTAAGCTATGTGGTCTATCCAAGGTACACTAACGTTGATATACGAGCCACAATCGACGTGTTTCAGGGTGGGATCGACGTCTACGTGTCGACATACGATGGCACTTTTGCTGTGTATCTTAATAAGACAACGTGGACGCACGAGATTGTCGTCTCAAACTCCATGCGCAAGCGTCGAGACGTCGGAGACTCGTCGGAATCTCCGAACATTATCGATGTGCACGCAGGTGAAGACAAGCTAAATACATTTGTTTATCTTCACTCGACGTCCGCTATCATTCGAGTGCGTAATGTTAGAAATCGTTTGATATTAACGTTTCCTTACATGGCGCATTCCTTAAGCAGTAGTCGGTTTTATATGGTATTTCTTGGCGTTGGCGACGAAACACGTTCAGACACTACTGGTATAGTGTATTTTCGCCAGGATTTATCCCAGATAGATCTGTTCGTGTTCTTTTCTGTATTTTTCTCCGTCTTCTTCTTGGTCTTGTCTCTGTGTATTATCGCGTGGAAGATCAAACAGTTCCATGATCGTCGCAGAATCGCACAAGTCCAGGAGCGTGAGTTAGTCAACATGGCTAGTCGTCCATTCGCTACTTATTCATTCTTGACCGACAAAAGCGCACCTCGGAGCTGTTGGAAAATCAAACGCGAGCACTCCAAGCGCAGCATCTCACGTAAGTCGTTTTTCCATCTGAAAGAAGCTTCGAATCGTCCTACCATTTCACCCGTCGCTCTGCAGGCCACAGACGACGTCAGGGCTGCTATTACGACAGTTATGCTTCAGTTGCCTAGCAACGAGTGCTCAGACTTCCAACTGGCTTTTGGAACGGCCATAACAACCTCTAGTAGCCAGCATTCTCTGGGTGTCTTCTTTGGACATCAGTTATTAAATGGACACAAAATTAACACGAGACAGACAGTCACTGCCACATCTTAGTACATTTAATTTCAATTCTAATTGCATGCTGTGGGTCTTTATATTATGGGAATCCGAATTTTCACGTTTTTTTTCTGGGGTCTGACAAAGCGACCAAAGGAATTATAGAGCCCGGTTTAATAAATGCATCATACCATACCAGTGCATTATATAAAACTCAATATATCCATATATAGGCACATTATTACAATACTCGCACTGAATACACAATCTCAGACACACAGGTAGCCCAAACTAACATTTGGTGCTTGTAATTTCGATAGCTTGGTCTACCTGTGTCACGAGTTTCACAGTTTGTCGCGTCCTCATTCCGATAACCACAGCTATCCCTCAGTTTTCAATAAATGAAAGGCACTAAGAGCAAGGATATTTTCTGTTCTTTTGGAAACAGAAACGAGGGATTATAACCTACAGTAAATCTCGACAATATTGGCCGAAATTTTTTTTCTTTTTTTTTGTATCTGAAGATATCGAAGAATATTTTTACTAAAATTTTTAGTGAAACAAAATAACTCTGAATTTTCTAGACAAATTTTTTTCATGAATCGTGTGTCAATAAAGTCGGGGTTTTACGAGTGGCGCACCTAAAACCCGCTTGCTGTAAATAGATTTCATGTGAATTGCGAAACGTTTTTTTAATTCAACTTTATTTTCTGTCAATTGTAAATATACCTAAAAGAATTCTTTTGGATACGAAATGTTGTTGAGATGATATATTAATAATACTGAATATTTTATTGGTTCATAATGAAATAGATATTCATATGCTCGCACAAATCTAATGACGTCATTTAGGTGAAGTCACACAGCCGCCATCTTGATTGTGATGTATCTAGTTTATGTCAGTTCTTATCCGCRCATTGAGTTAGAACATAGTTAATGGAGCGGTGGGAACTTGGTTGGAACTAAGACAAGTAGTTAACTTCATTTTTATTTGTAATTTGGTTAAGATGACTGTTGTGTGATATGAAGCCCTTTGTGAATCCCAAATCAGATATGAAAAATATTAAAACTGTTCACTTTGGTGTTTTTATCTTTTTTTACTTAATTATTTGTTTCCATGTTACTATATTGCCACCATGTTGGGGGTATATAAAAAAGATTCTCATTAGCTTCCATTACCACCAACATGGCCATCATGTCTCTTGGTCATTTTTCACACTCTTGAAGATGGTTCCAAAGGCATTAATTCTTGTTCGTTCGGTCGTTTGTCCGGTCGCAGTTCGTTCATTCGTTTATTCGTTTCGTTTTCTAGTATTTTCAAACCTCGCCAGTTATTTTCAATAACTTCCTTTTAAACCCGCTTGCAGCGGCGTTGATGCATGGAATCCTCTCGTTGACTCCTTGTCAACAGGGTTCTGATCCCGAACGTTCATAAGACACAACTTGAGTCTAAATTGATTTAGTTTCAGCGCCAGTAGAGTGAAGTCATTAAACCCGTGAAATAGATATTATACTAACACACTTATAGTAGTCCTTAATTCCATTGTTTTCTTTTGTGTCTATTTGACTATTACACGCTGACTAGTATTTTCTATTTCACGGGTTAAATGACTTCTCTCTAACCAATCTTCTTGAAGTGTCTATTCGTCTTTCTCGACAGGCGCTAAAAGGAATCATGAACCTTGGCGCCGAAAAAATAGATCTATTTTGGAATTGGACAGTTGGACTAAACCTCTTATATTAAGTTGTCTGAAAGTGACTCCGCTCTGGCGATCTCTCTGTTGGATTTTTTTCTTATTTGAAAGGATAATGAAAACTGGACCTGCTGAGGTATCGCTTGTGTTTTGACTGCTAACGTCTTTAATGTTTGCGATGATTCGAAATTAATTCCTTTACTATATGAAAAAATTCGTTCGTTACGTTTTTTGTTGTTTGCGCACACGCGCGAATTCAATCGAGATACGAAGGGCCGTACCTTGGTGTGGGTATGAAGCAACAAGAACGGTAAACGGAACAAGAGGCTAACAACGAAGGATGTTTAATTATTTTGATATAGCGGAAAGCCAGAAAAAATTAATAAAGAGGCTGTCACGCGCACTATGTGCGTGTACGTCGCTCCCTTTTTCTGTCACGGTAATCCCCCTTTCCTAGTACCATTTTCTCGTGCACTTGGCTGTGCCTGTGCCTTCTCATGTTATACATATCCGTTTTCGAAGAACGAATTCGAGTTTTTGTGTTTGGTTTTTGAGTCGATCAAGCGACAAGCCCAAGGGCTATGGATGCATCAATAATCATGTTTTTAATATGATAGCACAAGTAAGCGTGACACAGATCCAACAATTAACCGCCAGGTCATGACAGATTTTCATTCATTCACGTCACTAGCATGTCTGTCATCAAGACGGCAATGCCGATGTTTTACCTTTACGCCGCTTGATATCGCTTTCATATCGCGATCTCCTCGCATGAGACTATTAGGAACACCCTCGATTCTCCACGTTTACTAAACAACGCTGTCCTTTTCTAACGACTTCTTGCCTATATCTCGTACAGATGTCTGGGAAAAAGAAAGAATTGATCGTAGCCATTGACTTCGGTACTACGTATAGTGGATTTGCTTTCGCACCCGTCAATGCCGTGGAAGAGTCTGACATTTGTGTTTTTCGTGGTTGGGGAAGAGGACAAGGCTTCAGCTTTTTCAAAACACCGACATGTGTTTTACTCACCTCCGAAGGAGACTTCTACAAGTTCGGCCATGCTGCTGTAGAGACCTATGCTAAGCACTTGGCGAGAAGCGAAGGACAAGATTTACTCTTTTTTGATCGCTTCAAACTCGTTCTCTACAATACAAAGGTTAGTAATCGACCTAGATAAACGATTTGAGATTATTAGCTATTGCTGGGTTATATTAGGGTTCTTTTTTATTCATGGAAAATATTAGATATTTATGTAGTTTCTCATTTAGCGAGTTTTATTCGAGAGCTTGGTTTAAAATTTGAGTCGCCAGACGAAATTTAAGATTCGAATTTTATACACACATTCTAAACTTAATGAGCCGGAGCGGATGTTAATAGGAGCGAAAGAAAACAATTTGCCACAAGAAAGGTCTTTCTAGACTTCTCTGCTCGATATTCACCTCAAGCCTTTGCCGTATTTAAATAACCTAGATGAAGTAAGATTAATGCATTAAAAATGAATATGCACTCCATTATTATCGGTGAAAATATCAAATATCTCTCGTGGCTGTCACCCTACAACATACTTTGCCAAGTCCTTGTATTTATAAGTGTGTGTAAGCTTATATTGAAACAGATATTATGCGTTTTCATCTCCAAAAATAGGTCGACATTTCTTCAAAATAATCAACACCTTCCATTATTATGTCCTGAGATTTTGAGATCTTTCGTTCGTTCACGAAATTTAATAGCGAAAAAAATATTACCTTAAGATTAATCTGTGTCATTCAGTACTTTTGCCCTGCGGCAATTCAAGAATATACGATGATATTAATAGAATAAAACAATTAGCTTTAACTGAAGATGGCTTTGTGACAAGTCGAAACAAGTTTTTCAAATTTAAAGATGTTGTGTTGTTTTTAAAATTAATAAAGCAATTATTTTGCTCTTCGAGAAATTAACCTATTCTTGTATTCCTGCAAAGTGCTCAATTTCATTTGTCTTGCTTTATGATATAACTAATGTTTTCTATATTGAGTACGAATTTAATATCGTTTTGATTGTTTGCCTTTTCGACATAGTAAGCTTTTCTCGTACCTTGTTTGCACATGTTTTTGTATTTCCATGGATTTTTAACCGTTACTCTTTTGTTTAATGTTTATTTAATCAATTAAAATCCAATTTACGAGAAAGCGTTTTGAATTCATAATATTTGCCATCGGGATTGCAATATATCTCCCCTGGAGATAAAATCACGCAAACAGCTGTGACAGGGTCTGACTTAGTAACGCAATACAGCATAGTGACTACATATCATTTGAGTGGAAATTCTTATCATTTATCAACATATCTTTCTAGTTTTAGTATTATTCCTTAAGTAAATGGAATTTTGTAGAATATGTTTTAAAGATGAATCGTTTCGTCTTCGTGGAGTAATCGTTGAGTGGTCGTATTCTATTCGGAACTCATGTCTAGCATCAGAGATTATAACTAAAATAAAGAAGAATTTTTCATAGGAATCTTGAACGTGATGGAATGTTTATGAGCAAAGGAGTAAAAATTTAACAAATAATAGTTCTCGTCGTTTCCTATATTAATTTTACATCCGACCGAAGTCTTGCCAAATGAAGAGGATCTTATTATCAGTCAACCATGCACTAACAGTCTGATAATAATTGCGCTCAAGAGAGCACAAACGTTATTGAACTGGGCTTCCTGTGTTCCGCCCTTTAAATCAGCTATCACGTTTCGTGCGACAGGCTTTAGTTTTGATGTCTTGTATCTAGTCTCTACAAGAAAAATGAGGTTTAATGAGGGATTTATAGATAAAAAACTGATGCAGACGGGAGAAGTGAGGTGGACTGCAGAAAGGCTAAGTACTTCAGTTCGCTTCGGAAATGAAATGTCATTGTGTAAAGGGCGGACGTGTGATGCAGATGAATATCAGGGGGAATAAATTAAATTATTTGAAGAAAACTTTGGCTGATCCGCCTCATGCCAGACTCTAGAATGTCAGGTATTCGTCTGAAAAGCGCCAGCTCGATTTTGGACTTCATAATAACCCCTTCCCAAAATTATCTTGGATGCGAGGCTAACGCAACATGAAAACACAAAAGAAATCACACTCTTTCTCGATGGCATTTGTGGCATTTCTTTTGTATTTCCATTAGCCTCGCAATCAAGATAAGTTTGAGAAGGGCGGATTGACTAAGGCCCCGTCCATACGTATCTGGAAATTTTTGTATCCGCTTTTTTTATCGGATACGAAATTGTTCTCGTCCACACGCAGCGTATTCGAATCGTTTTCGAATCGTTTTTACTGTCCACACGTATCCGGAAATTTCTTGATCCGCCCTGATGCACGCTAGTGCCTAGTCCCTTTGACGGATAGTTGTTCTTATTGAGCATGCGCAAAATCGTGTTTACGTCAGCGTATTCGAAAATTTGCGGATACGACCGTCCACACGTATCCGTATTCGGAGCGTATTCGAAAATTTCCACTCTAGAGACCCTTTTTCGAAAATTTCCGGATACGAAATTTCCGAACACGTGTGGACGCAAGCCGTCTGATTCGCTAAAAAAAATTTGCGGATATACAAATTTCYGGATACGTGTGGACGGGGCCTAATTAACCCGCCAAGATTGTTTTAAAAAAGAAGTTTTATTGCTTGATTAACGTAAGAAGGGCACCATTCCTTGTTAAAGATCAAGAAAATTAAGTGAATACCTAACAATAAAGTCTACTTCAAGCTGAAAAAAATCTTTATTTGAGTTAAATATAGCACATTAGAAATAAGAAGGCATGTTACAGACGAACATTTGATAAACATCCTTAGGTCAAACGAATCTTTTCTTTCATCAGTGTCATATCTTGGTGCGATTAAATTTCCATTGATTTTTCTCTTTTTGATTTACTTTTTAGTTTACTTTTCAGGCAAAACTTTTGATGAATTAGAACATGTTCGTTCGCGATGTGGATGTATAAAAAGGGTTGAAAGTTGGCTGGTTTTGAAGTGGATGGGTTCCGAATGGCTGGCTATAYACACGACTCCTGCCGAGACAATCAGTCTTATCTGTTGCGTCACTTAAACGGAATATACTTTCTACCGCGATAAATCTTTTTCTAATGTCGGCATTTTTTAAACGTCAAGACCAAAATATTTTTGAGAGGATATCCTATATGATAATAATAAATAGGAGGCCGATGTTTGTCAGCCATAACAGCACAAATGAAATAACTCAAAGCTAGACCACAATGTGGAAAATTATGCATGTAATAAAGATAGTTAATATTAGCATGTATAGTCTAGAAAGTACCAGTAGTTATAATCATTACTGAGAAGTCAACGAGGGGGATAGYTTTAAGAGAGAATTCTTTTCGTATTCAAGCAGTGAGCGGCAAAAACTATTTTCTTGAAGAAAGGCTGTTGTACAAGGTTAAAATCTTGTTATTCAGAAAGTTTAAGTTGTTTGGAAGTGGAGATGACCGATGAAAGTGGAATCAAAGTGTTAACCCAAAGCAAACGCATTTTTTTCGAAAATAAGGTTTAGGCCTTCATTTGCTTATTTCCTATATATTTTCTATAAAAAAAAGCCTAACAAAGCAACATTCTAACACAAATGCAACAAAACATCTTTGTACAATTCAAAATACCACTTCAAACAGGCATTTTATCATAGTACATCAGTTTCTAACTGTTTAAAAAAGGTTTTGAGTGTTAACCCAAAACGAAAATTGGGATCAAAACTCATACGAAGGTCTAGTTTTTGGCGCTTTAATTTTGCCATTATTGCTCATTATTGAAAAAAATTTCCTCTTACTAGTTATGTTTTGTCAACACTGTTCCTTCATGAACATCTGCAGGAATGAAATTACTCTGATAACTGTAATTGTGGTGGGGTTTTCTTCTTTTACGGGCTACCTGTGGTGTGAAGTTGAAGTTCTTCTCGATACACAGGGATCCCAAGCCTCTAACAGGGTAAAAGAGTGTAACTTTGTATCCTTATTTTCCAGTCGTTGAACAAAGAGACTCGCATCAAAGCTGCAAATGGACGGACAGTCCGTGCACTAGACCTCTTCGCAGTCTGCCTTGCCTACTTGCGTCAGATGGCGATGGATACCATCAATAATGCGTACCTGGGGAAAAATGGTCAGCACGCTAACAAGTACGACGTAAGCCAGGTTCAATGGGTTCTTACTGTACCTGCTATCTGGGAACCCGCCGCCAAGGAGTTCATGCGGCAAGCTGCTTATATGGTTAGTACTATAGACAATAAAGGAGTGAATTATCTTGACCCACGATTCAGTGCAATACCAGAATACCAGTACGAAATGGTAGTCATTATACTATTGTTGATAGACATAACTTCAATTTAAAGTAATAGGCTTAACTTAATTCGACTTAACGGCTTATCTCTGATGTGAAGTGACGGAAAAGTATGGGAATTATGTACTTATTGACTGAGTTAGGTCGGGCCGTACGAGAAAATATTTAGCTCGAGGTGATATCCGTACAAATGACCGAGAGGCAAATATTTTCCCGTACGGCCCGACCTAACTCAGTCAATAAGCATTTTATCATATGACCCTAAATAAAAAATATATTTTAAAAGTTGCAAATCATGTCAATACGGTCGCAGGTTTCGAGCAGGGCCGTACGGATTCGTTAGTAATATATATCGTATCGGATATCGCTAGTAATTTGTAAGTAAGTAACGTATCGTTAGTAACTTGATTATCGAAATGCGCACGAGTTATTTCAGATCAATGTTATGGAATTTGATTGGTATTTTCCATAGGAATAAAGTCTGCGCACTTGAGCCGGGTTATCAGTTAACTTTCTCCGTCTAAGAATTAAATTATGCGCATCGCATAAATTGTGAAATGAAGTGATATCGCAAAAAAGAAAAAACCCGAACATCTTAGTGAATCTACCGCTTATGTTCTAAACAACATGCCTGCCACTTACTACCATTATCGTTGAAGTGCGACCCGCGAAGTTTCGGATGTCTCTTTTGCCGACTAGAATTTCAACGTCAATTGAAAAACTGAAATCCAAAAAACAATACCTTGACGGAGATTATAGACTGAACTAAAGATTTTAATCCTCTAAACTCGCTATCCCAGAGACTACATTCCTTTTGTTCTCCATCACTACAAACGCAGAACTTCTTCCAAGGTAGCTCCTGTTTAAAGGGGGTACCTATTTCCACGTCGCGCACACATTGCGCACTTTCATCGAGGGATTCTCACGGGATTCCCGCGGGATTTCAAAAGGCAGCGCTCGCAAATATGATTGCGTATTTAGTTTTTGAAAATTATGTAGTCCGCCATACGATATGCTTAACCCCTTGAAGTATTGCAGCTTGCGATAGTGTTTGTAATGTGCGGGGTTTTTTAACTGAGTAAAACTTCCATAAGTGCATTGCACATTGATAGAGGCGTAGATGCTTCCTATAGCCTCAGAATCTCACTGAATGATGTTTGATTGTGATACAGGGAGGTCTAGCATCCCCTGACGATCCTGATCACCTAATGATCGCACTGGAACCCGAGGCAGCCTCATTCTACTGTAAACGGCTACAAATGAAGGACTTTCTGGGGGAGACAGGGGAAGAACTTGTCAATGAGGTGCTTAGGAAATCTTCTGGTTCGTACATGGTGGTAGATAATGGAGGTGAGGAATAATCCGATTCCGCAGGAAGCAATTTCTTCTTAATGTCGAAATGTTTTTTATAACACCAATAATCTAAGAGAGTAGTATAGTAGGTATCTCTCATTTCTTCAGAGTGACAAGTGATCGGTAGAAAGCAGTTATGATTGGCCGAAAAATTTCCCTTGCTATGCGCGGTAGTCATATGCCCTGCGAACGTGATTTCTCACTCTCCTATTGTAGTTCGCTGTATCTTCATATTTTCGTTCTTATAGGAGGAACATTGGATATCACAGCGCATCAAATCCAAAAGGATGGCACAATAAAAGAGATCCACTCCCCCGTGGGAGGACAGCTAGGAGGAATACTAGTGGACAGCGAGTTCATTGGCCTGCTAAAGAGAATCTTTGGCGAGGATTTTATCAATTTATTCCAGCGTGATTACCCAAACGACTGGCAGAAGATCATGAGTGACTTCGAGATCCAAAAGCGCGCGGAACATGGAGTAGACAGTGATGAATTAAGCATTGTTCTTCCATTCAAGTTTGTCGACTCGTACAGTCGTATTATTGGTACAGATGACAACATTAATGAGAACCTACGACTGCATTATACCAACAGCGAGGTCAGTGTAGGTTCCGGATATCTTTACATCCATTTAGAAATTATAGAAAAATTTTACGAGGCTGTGATAAAAAAAACTGTTGATATGATAAGCAGYCTTTTGCGCAATGAGAAACTGGCAGAGGTCAAGACGATGTTTCTCGTTGGAGGATTCTCTCAAGCGCTACCACTGAGAAAAGCAATTGTAGATTCATTTCCCCAGATGCGAATCTTAACACCGAGAGAGAGCGAATTAGCGATTATGAAAGGAGCAGTGACGTTTGCTCAGAACCCAAACATTTTGTCTGCACGCGTTATGGCAAAGACTTACGGGATTGATATCAACGAACAGTTCTGCCCCGAGAAACACCCAGTTGAAAAGCGCACCAACATTGAAGGAGTGTATTTCTGTGAGGATGTATTCGACCCTCTTGTTCGAGAAGATGAAGAAGTCAAAGTTGGTGAAAAGCGCACTTTTTTCTTCTCGCCCGTTCACCCTCAACAAACGATAGCGAGGTTGAAATTCTTTAGCACCCAGAAACGAGACGTACTCTTCATCACAGACCCTGATGTCGAGGCTGAGAATGTCGAGTTTGAAGTCATCAGCCCGGATGTCAGTAAAGGACTCGAGAGGAAGATAGAGCTGGATGTGTACTTTGGGGGAACGGAAATCAAAGTCAGTGCTATGGACGTCACTTCCGGTAGCTCGGCCAAGGCATCTTTGAGGCTGGTAACGAAAGGATCTATGTAGTATGGTATTAGCCTAAAGAATGAAACTTTATTCGAGAACATTTTAAAAAAGATTTTGTTTCTCAGAAATGATACGTTTATGTTTGTCTGTGGTGTGTAAAACCTAGCAAAATAAGCCATTTACACTAAGAGGTCACGTGACCCTACCCTCTGAAGGCTGAAGGGTCACATGACCTGCTATAGCCTATCATGATGAAAAAATTAAAAACAATTTCATTCAAATTCCCAAAAAACCTCGGATTATTATTTGAAACTGACAGAATCTAGTGTCATTCCATTTGTTGCTAGTATAACTATCATTACCATGGCAGCTCTAAATGTTACATGGTTGCTATGGTGACTCTTAAACAATTCTAAATAGACCCCTTGTAGCATGTCAGAACGAGCTCAATTTGGAGGACATAACAATAGGTTTCCGATTGTCAGGAGATTGAAATTCTTTCGTTTTGTCCTCCAAATTGAGCTGCTTTGACGTCACATGCAAGGGGTCTATTCAATGGACAAAGAACTATCTCTGTGAAAAAGCACTACTAAATTAGATCTGATTCTTTCACACTGTGGCATTCCCAGTAATCAAATTGATAGATAGATAGATATTTCATACAAGATATCAAATATTGATAAATGATAGTAATTGAAGATTTATTTAAGTGACTCAGCATAAAACTGCTGAAAGAAAGATATTATTCTCAAATATTATGAAATCATTCCAGAAGAAATGCAATATGCTCTGGCCATTTCTTACAAAGGGCTTGAGAAACAACTATACTTGACTCTCGGACTAATGGAATTAGTAGAAGCAGAATAGACCTCTATACATTGGGCATGTTTTTCCATTTCAGACCATCTGATTCCCTTGAGTATCATTTTTTTGTTTAATGGTTGTACATGAGAAGACAGAGGAATGTAGATACAACTCAAACAAAGAATCTTATTTTATAGACTGCCAAGTTAGCTTAGTTGGTAAGAGCATCAGTCTGTTGCGTCAGAGGTCATGGCTTGAGACCATCTTCAGTGTCTTGACTTTTAATTACTTAAGGGCCTACAAAAATTGGCAAAAGCTATTACAGTGTCTCTACCCCTCCGGGGAAAAGTGAATAAAATAGAATGACATGTGGTCTGAGATGGGAAAACATTATGCCCAAGCAAGCTTAAGAGCTCTTTTATCCACTATAAAAATGTGTAAAACAGTAAATAAACAGTTAGACTATTGAATAGTGTCAGCACTAAAAGGTTTATCTTTAACAAAGCAGGATTAATAGATGCTCTTGATTCAAATTAATGAACAAGACTTTTCTTTATTAAGAAATGTATAAAACTGAATGAATAAGATTTAGGTGATCTCCTTGGGGAATAAAAATCAATTATATACCAGCAATATGTTATCACTGGTAGTTAGATCAAAGCCGGCTCCACAGGCTACTCACTAAGGTTTTGTTGGTTTGGTTTTTGTTGCTGTTCGAGAGGGCTGGGTGAAAACGAGGAAGACTATGGCGAGCAGGGGAGGGAAAGAAAAGATCGCTCTCCCTCTTCTCTCATTAGGTACTAGTCCCGCTCGGTCAACTCTCAGCCAACACAGGAAGCCCAGTATAAGAAAGGAGAGAGAAAAGAGCAGAAAAGAGATGCCTGAGGGGGGTCAGGCTAGTTAGAGCAGTTAAGCAGTCAAAAGCCCTCCTATTGGTATCACTTTTAAAAGTTCCAACAAATCAACCAATATCTCAGGGTTTTTTATTAATCTTTGTTTTTACAATATTAGCAAAAAGAAAGTCATAAATATATTTATTTTTTAATATTYATTTTTTGAGACGTGGGTCTATTAGTGAGGGTGAATTACAAACAAGTCTCTCCTCCCCCCATAAGGGGGTACTAGAGACGTGAGGGAGGGGAGGAAGGGGACTGGTTTTGTACATCTGGTTGTTGTGGTCTTGACTCTGATGTTGATTTGTGGAATACCTTGTTCGTTAACCATACCACATGTCATGAGGGTGGGGAGGAAGGGGACTGGTTTTGTACATCTGGTTGTTGTGGTCTTGGCTTGGATGTTGATTTATGGAATACCTTGTTCGTTAACCATACCACTAATCTAAACACTCTGATTGGAAATTGACTGAAAGCAATACAAATTAGATTGTTATTCTCTTCTATATTGAAGAAGTATTTAGATGAAGACATTGCTGAACTTACTTTGTTTCAGACACATTAGCTTCATTGCCACTGATTATGAAGAGAGGGAAAAGGATTGCGAACACACAACCACTGAAAAACAAAATCATACTTTAAGAGATGAAAGAAATCTTCTGCAATGGTATCAAGGATTAAAATGATAGAGATGACAAGGATGATTAATGATGATGATGATGATGATGATGATGTAAAATGATGATGATGGTGGTGGCAATGATGATGGTAAAGATTGTTATGGTGATGCAAATGATGATGATTTATAATGATGATAACTGATGCTGGAAATGATAAGGATTGATAAAGATAACAGAAATATGATGATTGATAGAAAATATTGATGATGGTGATGATTGAAAATGATAGTGAGGGTGACCATGATGATAATGATGATGATGATGATAATGATGGTGATGATGATAATGATGATGATGATGATGATGATCACTGTTGATCATGAAAAAAATAGTCACATACTACCAACCTGACAAAAACAGATGAAGGTAAAGCAGTCATCAGTGCTAATGGCAGACCAAATCCAACAAAGTAAGGCCAGTTGGATTCTATGTATGCTAAGCGTTTAGGAGCTGACCAATCTATGAAACCACAACACCACTTCACCTACTGTACATTCAGGGACTGCAGACAAGGAAAAGCTGGGAAATGGAGCTGTATGCTCCCTATATTTAACTCCTGTTTCCTCCCTCTCCCCTCCCAATTCTATGTGATGATGGTGCTACATATGCATGGGAAGGTTGGAGAGCAATTTATTATGTGACCTGGGGTGCTTACCATTTACCAGGAAAAAACTGGAAATTCCAGTTAAAAAACAAATGGTATGTATCATTCTGATCAGGAAGTTCAGGAAAACTTGTTCTTTCATTTGAGGTAATCCACTTTCCCCACTCTTTTTGGTTCATTAGTATATGTGTGTACCATTTTTCAAAAGTCAAACTTCCCACCTTTTCTTATCATTAGCAAATAAATTTCTAATCTGATGGATTGGTGTAAATGATAAGTACCCCTCRCCTGTCATTGAAAAACAAGAGAGATACTTACCCATATTGACCCATTTGTACTCAAAAGCATAAAGAGAATAGAGTAGACACATATGGATTAAACTTGCTAAAGGGCCAAGGACTGGTAAAAAACCCACTAGCATACCCTGAGGAATAAATAAATCAATGATGTATTCATTTAGAAAAATCTTACTTCCTGCCTGGAAACATAAACACCAACTAACAAATCAGATCAAGATGGTGTTTCAAAATGACACCCACTCTTGTTGGAGGACACACGAAGATACCCATCAATACTGTGTGATGCACTTCACTGTTTTGAAACCCTTTGTTGATACCACACCTGGGCATTCAATTAATTCTGAGACACCCATTTATGTTTGAGGAAATCACCCATGTTGGAGAACACCCACCCATGTTGGAGGATACCTGCCCATGTTTGAGGACAACTGCCCATGTTAGGGAGCAACCACCCATGTTGGAGGACACTCACCCATGCTGGAGGTTACCTGCTTATTGTTGAGGACAACTGGCCATGTTAGGGGGCAATCACTTATGTTGGAGGACACCCACCCATGTTGGAGGATACATACCTGGATTAAGAAGAATGCTTGTAAGAGAACACTAAATGCAAAGTCTGCTATACTTCTGCTCACATAACTTGATACACTGCAACATCACAAAACAAGATAACATTAATTTATGAATCATATCATTTATGGACTAACAATGTTGAAATAATGAAAGCTATACAATTAACAACATTTTGCCATACCTTTCTCCCCTTGATATATGCACAAGGCCAAGAGGTCTACCTCTGTTTTTCCGATAYGCAGAGTCAGCTATTTCCTGGAATATTAAGAAATATTCCAGGAAAACACAAAAAAATACACCAGCTTTAATTGTCATTCATTTATGATAATTAAGCTATTATTTCTTGCACACTATTCTTACCTGGAACCAGAGAGAATTTAATGGTTTACTAAGCCAGAATAAGGGAAGCACCCACAACGCTCCAAAAACATATGACAATGCTGGTCCCATCCAATACCAGACACTACTATGATGAGTTGAACTACCAGAAACTAACTCTATAATAAACAATGATAATCAGTAATACTTCTATACTACATGGTTAAGTTCTAGTACATATTTTCTTTTTTTATGTCCAGGGGTTTAACTATTTAGTTTCCATCTTTTCTTTCAAAAATTGGAAACCTTTTGGGAAAAGCAAAGGAACAGAAAAGTAAATCACTAGCTATCAAAGACTTTGAAAATTTAGTCATTGGGGTAATTATAGACCAATAACCATCATTTGAAGCCCTGCTTAGATGTCAAATAGTTGGATATAACATAAATAATATTGTGTGGATTACGTCTGAAAATCTACATATCAGATTTGCTTACCAAATACTAGGTGCGTGAGCCACTGCAGAGCCGGAATGATGTAGCTTTCAAACAAAAATATACTCAACTGCAAAAAAAGACAATTTGGAATATTTTTTCAATAYGTAAGTGCCATATTAAAATATTCCGAATATCAAGAGGGGGCTTAGGTTTTTGCTTCTGTTTTCTTTTCTTTTCCCTAGTTTCTTCTCCAGCCATGATGCTCCATGTCTAGGATCTGTGACTGACAGTAATGAGGGCTGCCAAGTATTAGCAACCCTTGACAAAAATAAATGGTCCTTCATGAATGTCTTGTAGTGTATTAACCAATTGACTTACCCAGAAAATACCCCCATTAAGTAGACAGCACTGAACCATATTCTTCAATATTTGTTTAGCTGGTTGGGTACTACAGGAATAAAATAACAGACGATGGTTGTAATAAATGAATTAAACACAGACAGCCCCTGTGTTTGGAAAGGTATTGGTGATGGAGATAGAATAGAATACCTATTCTGGGTAGCATCTTGATATCACATAACAGCCAAAAACAAAAACAGCAACAACAAAAAACAACTAAAGTAAATAACACAATTTTAAAATCTTATCAATCAAACTAAATATTGGAATCTGTAAAACTTGCATAAGCCTGGCTCATCGAAGACAACATATTTCATTCAACATCTTGGGGGAAAATAAACGATATGACTCGATAGCCATTTAGAGATGCTTACTGAAGCACTCCATCAACTATAAGTAAAATCGTCCTTAGAAAAGCGAGCTTTGTTTTTTAATAAACATTAAAAGTCTTTACTTGTCTGTTTTTGGACGTGTTCTCATCCCTCGAAGTTGGCGTTGATTTTCGACCAATTTTCTCTGTTTTTCTTCCTCTTTCTTCTCCGTTTCACTGTCTAGTCTAAATATAGCTGTAATACCGAGGAGAGAATCTTTTAAACCGTTGCCAAAGCCGAGAAAAAAGGGTTTAAATTCACTCATTTTTGACGTGAAGCTTTTACTCTAGCTTCTCTTTGTTTTTTACTATGGTCAAAATATTGGAGCCCAGGACTACGCTGAAAAGCCTGTCCAAGTGCATCTGGGAGTTGTTTCCATTATTCTAGTTCGGCTTTTGATTTTTTAATGTTTTTTTTTCTACATTTTTTCTTTTTTGTGTTCTTATGCGCGCTTTTATTTAGAGAAAGTTTTTCCATCCTTTGTAATCCGTAGGTTTTTCTGTCCCTTATATTTAAAGAAACGCCTCAAATCCAAAGCCTCAGTGTTCAGTGATTCTCTTGGTAAAAGCGCATTACATTTCTCGACAAAGGACGGGAAAATTAATTTCAAACTAGACTATAGTTTATTTATTTCACAAAAAAATTTTCCAAAAGTTTGCAAAAAAAAAAAAAAAATCCTCATCCTCTCCATTCCTTTCCTGTACTTTCCCTTCCTTATGATTGATTTCTTTTTATCGTTTCCTTTCATAGGTTAACCAGGGTTATTACTTCGGTGTCTCGAGACCTATCCTATTACTTCACCTAATGACCAATAATCGCGCTCCGAATCCAATCATTAATTTCCATTTCCAGAGCATAATTAACAAACCAGTTCGTCAAAATTATTTCCAGCGAGATATCAAGTTTTTCTAAGTCTTTTATTTTTAACTCCCCAACATTCAGAAGAAGAAATGATAATACTATAAAGTAATGAAAATGAAATCTCAAAAAACAACGTACTATTATGGCAAGCCGAATGTAGCAATATTCAATTCAGCTCGTTTATTCAACGTTCAACCATATTTATTCAACGTTCAACCATATTTATTCAACGTTCAACC